ACGTGTTAGACACGTTCCGTTCATTTTAACTCGGAATAAAGTTAAGTTTCAGACTGAAATCTCAGCGCTACCTGGCTATGCTTATAATCATTTTTTTTTTTTAAATAAAAAATTTGTTTTGTGTGTGTTATTTCTATAGGCTGATCAGCTAACAGAGGAGCAGATTGCTGGTATGTAAGATAAACCTTTATCTTAAAATGATAGTTCACACACAAATGAAAATTCTGAAGTTGTTCTGAATCTCTGTGAATTTCTTTCTTCTGCTGAACACAAAATAAGATATTTTAGAGATTGTTTGAATCCAAACAGTTGATGGACCCCATTAACAGAAGAAAAATACTATGGAAGTCAATGGGGTATCATCTCAATATCATAATTTGTGTTCAGCATAAAAAAAACTAATTCATACAGGTTTGGAACAATTTGAGGATGAGTAAATGATGACCGTATTCATTTTAGAGTGAACACTCCCTTTAAACCAACAATATGATTTTATAATATGCAACTCATTATCTGTCCTTTTTTCCAGAATTCAAGGAAGCCTTCTCCTTATTTGACAAAGATGGTGATGGTACCATCACTACTAAAGAGTTAGGGACTGTCATGCGCTCTTTGGGCCAGAATCCTACAGAGGCAGAGCTTCAGGATATGATCAATGAAGTCGATGCTGATGGTGAGAAAACCCTTCCACATATAATGCCATGTTACTGTAGCTCTTGTCTAAATCTGACTTTTTACCCACCTCAGGCAATGGAACAATTGATTTCCCAGAGTTTCTTACTATGATGGCCAGAAAGATGAAGGACACAGATAGCGAGGAGGAGATCAGAGAAGCGTTCAGAGTTTTCGATAAGGTAAAATAGGGTTTCTTGGAACCATGTACTCGCTTATTGAATGTGTTTCTTTAACAAAAAAAATGGGAAAGAATATTTTCCTCACTCAATGACTAATGCTTTACAGGATGGAAACGGTTATATCAGTGCAGCAGAGTTGCGTCATGTCATGACAAATCTGGGGGAGAAGCTTACAGACGAAGAAGTGGATGAAATGATCCGGGAGGCAGATATTGATGGTGATGGCCAGGTCAACTATGAAGGTATTTCAACATGTTAATGTCACTGATGCATAGTGTTTTTTTTTTGTATAAATGTATAGTATGCATTGCCTGTTTAAATCCCAAGCTTGTGGTTGAGCTATTTAGAACAATTCAAGGGTCAAATGGATTATGGCTTATGGACAATGGCTTATTTTGTTGAAGTTGAAGAATTCTTGTGAAATCAGTTTGCATGTTTGACAAAAAATATTTTACCCCAATTTTTTTCAGAGTTTGTCCAGATGATGACGGCGAAGTAAAACTGGAAACCAAAAGGAGCACAACAGACCAAACAGTGGGCAGCACTCTCACTGTCAACCTTCAACAAGCATTCACAACCCAATATCTTACTCCTCTCCATTTAGTTTTGCTCTCTTCTACTTTCCCTTAGTTTAAACAGTCCCCCTGCTCTGCTTGTTTTTTACTTCTGATCTTCTGTAATCTTTTTCCTACATTTATCTGGTTTTCTTTGGAAGAAAACGTTTCCATGCACAACAAAGTTTAAATCTTGCATTATGATGGTGATAACAGCAGTGTAACACATGTATCAATATCAATATCTTAAAGATTGTGACATACTATATGGACAAGAGCAATGCATGCTTTGTTTACGTTTGGCATGTTTCTGTGTCTTTTGTTTTTCTTCCCAGGTTTCCTCTTTTTCTAACTTGCTAGTTCTCCTTTAACTGCATGTTTCTCATGCAACCTCTGCTCAGTGGTCTTAGAACTGTATGGTTAATAACCATTCATGGATAATCAGGGGCTTTATATAACAAAATGGCTCAAACTTCCATGTCATAGTGTGATTGTTTTTGTAAGTGTAGAACTGTGTGTCTGAGCGAGTGCTTGTAGTTGGATTTAAAATGGAGCCACTCAGTACAGTTTACGTTTTGGTATAGGGCTTGTTCTTTAGGGACTGCATAACTAATGTCTATGAAAAAAAAAAAACCTTAAAAAAAAACTTAGACAAACCAGTGTAGAATAATCCATAGATGGTTAATTGGGGACCAATTATTTCAGTCAGTTTGCTTTGCCCCTTTTTTTTTGTATTGTTTGAGAGGAACATGGGGGGGAAGTTTTTAACCTTCTTTCCAATGTTAATTTTCTCACTAATTTTACTACCCCAAAGCAATTGCCACCTATTTGTTCTAGACTGGAGTAGAAAGGTTTAATGTTTGGTTTGAGCTCTATACGTGTGGAGTTTTACTGAAGATGTAGAATAGATTTCACCTTAATATACAGTCTTACGTTTTGATGCTGCACTTGATGTCCTAGTCAGTGGACCATTTCTGTCTAGGGAAAAATATTAAAGTTAAGGTGTGTGCTGATTCTTCCTGCAGGCTGTTCGATATATTTGTATACATCCATAGCACTGCATTTTATGAATATTTTTTTTTTTTTTTTAAGAATAATTTTTCAGAAGCAATGGCATGGTCCTGTAGTTGTGGTCCATGCACAGTGGCAGTTGGGATGGTGCGTAATGCTTGTCATCCAGTTAGACAGTGTCTGCTCTGTTGGTGCAGCAACTGCTGCCATGAAATGCAGCTTTGAATGAAATCCATTTTTTGTAACTGTATAGACCGTTAAACAAACAAATGGTTAAGGTTAAATGGCGTATAATAGTAGAATCACATACATTATGGTGGTAGTATTGCATCTTCTGCCCCAGTTCTTAATTTATTCTACTGTTATGTTTTTTATTACCTTTATATGTTGTTGTTTTTTTCTTCCTCTGAGATCTAAATTTATGGTCTAGTTCTTTTTTCTCTCTTCCTCTGACCATAAGGTAAAATAATAAAAAAAAGAGAAAGGTTATGCATTCCATTGCAGAACTCTGGTTTTCTTGCTAAATAAACATCTTGGACCTCTGTTTCTAAATTACCTCTTTTTGTTCTTAACACTGTTGGCTATATAACTGTAAATCTGCATGGGCTTATTAAAAATAGTGTAAGAGAGACAGAAAAGTGCATTTGATCTATATTGTTTATTGTCATTTGTTTGCACAAGACAATTAGGCCTTATGATAATTTTGGATCACATTACATTGATTAAGAGTCAGCATGTCCACAGCATATCACTTAGAAACATTTACATACTTACAAACACATACATTGCAAATATTACAAATAACTTTGGGATGTGGAAAGGGCCTGAAGTTAACTTTTTCCTTTTTCAGCCACTGTGGCAGGTGGATTTAAAAATTCACCTGCCACAGACTTTTTACCTGCCTTTTTTTTGCCTCATAAAGGTGAAACCGCCTTTTTGAGTAAATATTGTTCTTTAACTTGTAAGAATACACATTTAAGTGCTGTCAAGTAATAATAATTCCAAGAACATACATTTTTTTTTCCATTGTTTTGACTCTCACTCTCTCTCTCTCTCTCTCTCTCTCTCTCTCTCTCTCTCTCTCTCTCTCTCTATATATATATATATATATATATATATAGTATCACTGTATTTGACTCAAACATTTACAGAGGTCATAACACTAACTCACAAACAGAAACAATTAACACATTTATACCTTGGTGGTCAGCACCAATTAATACATAAAGGGGGATACACAGACATATAATGGCCATTACACACAATAAACGAATATGAAAACACCCAATATACATAAACAAACACCTCAAATAATATTATTAAATTACTTCACTCAATAAATATACTTCTTATAAACAAATAAAAAGAAAAGCAAGCAAAATAGTCATTGGAGTTCCCCCTGAGAGGAAACCGGAATGGTTGTGGCCCGATCATCGACCGGAACCATATATATACGTCCAATGTTTCCACTTGAACCCCTTTTGATGGTGCACCAGCTCACGGGACTCAGACGCATCAAACAAACAAACAAACAAACAAACAAAAAGAACGGTAAGAATAAACTTAAACTAAACGTTTAAGAGTTTACGCACTAACTCCAAACGAAAGTTTAAATAAAGTTTATTAAACCAAAATAATGCTGTCTATTCTTTACTGTAAACAAATTCCATTAAATAAAAACTGACCTGTAGGCTCACCAACACCCGCCACAGTCACGAAGACGGGTCTTAACAGCTTTTAGTTACAGCGTTCAGGAACCATTAACTATGAACTAAATTAATATTGGTATTACTAGTAGAGTTACCGGGGTACCGGACATTTTCTGACCCTGTTCCCAGCTCCCAACATGCACAGTTGCACACGCGCACACACATCTGTGCAACTGTCATTGTACTGTAGCCTACATCAGCGTTACATTCTCATCCCATCTCACCAACAGTTTAATACTCGCACATCCAAACGTAGACAGGAAAGGGCCTCATCTTCTTTCTGATCGCATGAACATTACGAAACAACAGTCGCTGTCATAAATCAGCCACTCATGAACCTTGCCATTATTAAACTGTCTTTTACTTTACTTTTTCTCATCCTCATGTTTTTGTTGGTTGTTTGTTTCAGCTGGCCTCTTTACCCCATGTGCCGCCACATTGTAGCTAAAGCTCAAATTAATGGCGGACTTCGTTGAAATGTAAAAATCCTAATGAATCGCTCAATTCTCACAGTGTTACCTGCCAATAGCAAAATTCACCTGGATTTGGCAGGTGGTGGTCGGGTGTTAATTTCAGGGTAACGGAAACGTCCACATGACAAGTCTGCAGTAATTATCCATCTGTAGTTTTATCCTGTCATAAAACTACAACACCCAAGCTTTCCCCAAACATCCAATATCTTTTTTTTTAAATTATTATTATTTACGTCCAATACCGGTACCTGTACAGAGCTGTTGATGATTGACGTCACGCAGAACGAATAGGTACCGCGGATTTCAGCTCCAACCAATCACATCAATGACAAGTGAGACGTAGGCGGGGACGCAAGCTTAGATTATACGTAACACCAATAGTTTGCAAGTATACAGATGGGTGGTTTATTGATTCAAGAAAAAATGTTGCAACTGGCCACATACTAAAAAGTGTACAATTGATTTGTGACAGGACAAGACGATTGAAACACACTTCGGCAAACAATCGTAACGAGTTGAAAATCCAGTGGGAAATCGCACTATAAAGCCCTGTCAGGAGATGTAAATAAGCGAGTTCTGGTGAGGCATTTAGTTACTTCGCTACGTATGTCCGATTGCTACGTACAATTGATATTCACTGAACTTACGCACCGAGGATATTACGTCTTTGGACGCTTTGGACCCCAGAACGCAACTGCTGAGACAAGATGGTAAGACTGCATTCTCGCATTTATGTTAATCGGATCAGATGAAATGAAACGCTGTTTTTGAAACTGCTCTCGTAAGGTATGCTATATTGCAAATATGATGAACACAAGTTGCTGCCCTAATAAACACTAGCCGCTTGATATGTTAACTTGAGCATAAGTGCAGTAAATTTCAGTAAATAGACATTCGTGGCTTCTGCAGTTAATATATGAACCGTGTTAGATAGAGAGTTTTGAAGTCGTGCAGAATGAGACCAAAGGGCATTGCACTCTCATGCTCTCTTCTGTTTGCTAACACATGTGCCAACTGAATGAATCAAACTGAACAAGATGATGGATTTACAACACACATCAATAGTTTGGCTGTGTACAAATGTTTGCTTTATTGATTCAAGAAAAAAAAATATTGACCTAAACTATTACCAAACATAAACACTTCATGGCTGCACGTCCGTTTAAAAGGGAACGTTGAAGCTTACTAATGGAAATGGTTATTCATTGCTCAGCAAGTTCAGGTTCACTTTTAAATTGGCAGCTGTCGATGACAATTTTAACGTCCATCTGTCCAAATCCAATCCCCATCCAGGAATGACAGTGTTAAACTGCCCCTTATCAAACGCAAAATCTTAATAGGGCAGTTTACGGCAAATAAAGAAATGAACAGTGATTTAGACGTCAGTAACATTATTTTCGCTATATGAAATTTGGAGGAGGGAGTTTTCCTTTTTTTAATTCTTTTATATATATTATTATCTTTTATCGTGTTATTATTATTATTCTTTTATAATATTATTACTATAAATATTATCTATAATAATTTAATACTATAAGAATTTTGTAATAAAATATCTAAAAATCACTTGCACAGTTCGATATTTCATGCAGTTGTGTAATTACAATATCACATAAGTCTCCAAAGTTTTTTTTTATTTCAGAGAAATTCCAATTTTAAATAAGGCCATGTTCACACAAAGCCGGGTATTTAGCAAAACGAATATTTTCCCCCTCTCCGTTTTCAAAAATAACATCGTTCACACACCCGCATGCAAGCCAATCAGAATCGACAAGAGAGAACCTTAAACGCTGTTTCTCCCAGTTCACACGACAACACATAACCGGTGTTTTTCGAAATAATCGTTTTCTGTGATTAAAAACGGGGTTTTCGTGTAAACGAGAGGCCAATCCGCAGGGAAATATCAGTTTTCCCTTCGAGTAAACAGGGCCTAAGTGGCCGTCCCGGAAACAATGTCTCCTGTCAATGACGCAACATCCGCGCTATCCTCGGTTTCCGTTCATACTGCCATAGCCATGACGTAACCATGGCGACAAACGTGGACAACTGGGTAGTGCGAAACGTTAGCGGCACGCAGTTCTTATTTCTTTCAAACATAGACCATAGCAAAGCAGACTTTGGGACATACAAGGAGAACTAAAATGAGGATCAATATCAGTGTGGCGTTTTTGAGATGCCGAGAGCTCCATGTCCGCGACTAACTTGGACTTGAGTCTAATATGTGAGTCGCGTGTGATATCCGTCTCTTTAGCAATCGCGACCTGCTTCATACCGTTATAATGTTAAAAAACATGAATGTTTGCACTCATCCAAATATTATTATATTCATCAGCTTGACAGCAAATCCCATCATTCAGCTCAACACTGCGTCATCAACCTACGCCTTTGTTATTGTTGAGCCCTTAGAAACTGTGCCCTCTAGTGGCGAAAAAACTACATTGTACCTTTAATCTCTCAAAGCCACTTGCTTCTACACAGTCAGCAAGATATTTTGCATAATTTGCTAATTTTGTAACATGATGATGGTCATTTTGCCACCAAATTTTTGTTTTCCCATCTCCACACAGTCCTAAATGTGCTGCTATTGTTTACAGCAGCTTCAGATTGCCTCCTCTGCGGTGCTCGTGTATCAGTGTCAGGTTCTCTCTCAGGCAGGACACAGTTGTTGCATTGTTGTGATTTTGGCAGAGGGATGCCCCTTATTCAGGAAAAGACCAGTATAAGAAAGAACCGTATAACAACTTTTCCGCAACCACAGAAGAGTTAGTGAAATGGGACACCTTATGCTTCCATGTAAAATCAGCCGGAGCTTTAGTAGAGGAATTTGTGATTTGAAGATTAGAAATGAATTTAAGGGGCCTTATGCTGTGCAAATACCTTTCCTTTGTAGTCATAGGCGTTTGAGCATGTTTTTGCAATATCCTTGGATGTAATTCAGTATCAAATGCATGTTTGTTTTTTGTTTTTTTAAGGAAATGGGTGTGGGTTATTTTCCTTATTTCTATAGAAAACAAAGATGGTGTGTTTGCTAACTCTCCCCACCCCCAAATGAATTGGTTTAAGCCTGAATTTACAACTGGTTTTGCTTTAGTACATTGGACGTCACATGACTCGTCACTGTACCAGAATGGCTTATTGTAAAAAAAAAAGAAAAGAAATTATTAACATGACATGGCATGAGTAGAAAAATCTAAATATTATGTCTAACACAAAATTAAGTACTAACAATGTGCAAAATGTTGTATTTTAGGAAGGCATGTTATTGTTGCAACTTGCAAGTTTTGGTATCTGCCGATGTAGGATATTTAATTGTGCATGCTCTGTTCTCCTATTTTAACATTTATTAGATTGTTGTCATAAGCTAATGTTCAAAGTCAATTTTAAAACTCTGATCATAAACGAATAATCTTTATTAAATACATTTAACCCTATCCATTTTCTAAATGCATCGTGTTGATATTTTTGTGAACGATTCCTACTTTTTGATACTCAGGTTAATTTTTTAGTCTGGTTGAAGTGACCCCCTCCCGAATACGATTGGTTTGGGTGTGTTTTGAAGAGCAATAGAGCAAGTTTTGTTGCGCAACCCTGCTTTTATTGTCCGTTTCGTAGTCTTTATATCCTTTTGTCTCCTGAGGCTTCAGAGTCTCTCTGTTCCTTCAGTGATTCACACAGAGTTTAATCAGTTCTGCTGTTGTTTCAGGTGCTCCGTCTCAGCCTTAGAAGCTTTGTCCACAGGCAATATGACCGCAATATAACATTGTGTTTTGTTCTGTTTGGCCCTGTGGGTACTTGACTTAATGTTTTTCAGTATATGTGGATAAGCTTGATACACAGCATTTTTTTTTAAAGACAGCCAGTATCTTCTCACATAGTATGCCAGTCTTCTTTCTTTGTCCAAGTACTTTTGGATTTGTTTGTCATTTGTCAGCACTCATTTGTACTATACAAGGCTTATTCTCCTGCTGTCCCATGTATTCTTTTCCTTGACCTCAGTTTCCCTTTACTTCGAGTGTTGATTGTTGTTATCTCCAGAGTTCCTGTGTGAAACACTGCAAGGCCTACTACTACTAATCCCTTTGGTTCTTTACAGATGCAGATAACACTCAATAGACATCACTTCACTACAGCGGCATGATGGAGCTGCTTTCTATAACACTTATCTTTGGCTCTCGCTCTCTAGATGCTGCTACAGGTGGGACTGGGTGGACCGCGCTCTGCCCTGGGGCTGTTAGCCATCAGGAGGGTGTGGGTTATGACCCGCTCGGCCCATACTGCACCCCGGGCACTGGAGTACAAGCCCATCAAAAAGGTCATGGTGGCTAACAGAGGTGTGTCAGCACTCAGCTGCTGTGTTCTGAATTAATTGCTGCTTACTGTTAAACTTTATGCGATTTATAGTTATTGAAACATTAAAAAAAAAAAACGGATTTTAGTTTAAATTTATTTTATTTGTATTGTGTATATATATTTCAAATTACAGGAATATAGAGTGCCGAAGTGATGACGAGTTGTGACCCTTACACGTTTTGTCTATCAAGCAAGATAATCTTTACAAGTTAATCCAAAATTTATACATTTTGAAGCCTATATATAGTTAAAAAACACAAGCAGACACAATAAAGTTTAAAAGCAGGTAATAACTGGTGTCAGATCAAAACGTGAAAAATACGTTTTTTAACGTTTTTTGTGGCTTTGTTAACAACAGACATTATTTCAGGCGATTTAGCAAAAACCAATTTAAAAACCCCATAGACTTGCCCCATAAGCAAGTGCTAAAATGCTAACTCACTTCTAAGTTTTGGCCTACAAATTGTCGTCATAACTTCAGCACTCTACTGTATAACACTTATTGAAGTTCAGATTGAATTTTAAAGTCAATGCATCCATAAAATACTGCTTAAGATTTTGTTTACTGCAGAAATAACAATGGTTGTATCCTATTCTGAACATAACCATTCTCAATCTGTCTTCTGTCCTTTCTCTGTAAAATATATGGTATGAATGAACTGTACACTCATGCATTGTAATTCATGAAACTGTCTTCGCAGGAGAGATTGCCATCCGGGTGTTTCGGGCATGCACAGAGCTGGGGATCCGTACAGTGGCCGTCTACTCTGAGCAGGACACAGGTCAGATGCACAGACAAAAGGCAGATGAAGCTTACCTCATCGGCAAGGGGCTGCCACCTGTAGCGGCTTATCTGCATATACCAGACATCATCAAAGTGGCCAAGGTCAGTCTTTTCTCACACTTGTGTGGGTTCAGTGAGGATGCTCTGTAAATCCTCTGTACAGTAGTTCTGTTTTCTTTTCTTTTTTTTATAATTAGTATTTTATTGAGTTTTGAACACCACTGGTACATTTTAATCAACATTGTAGTCAATATTACAATTGACGTCTAAACATATCCCATAGTGATGATACATTTTTGAATAAAAATTAAAAAGTCAAACCAGAAAAAATAACAGAAACTGAACTTTTTACAACTTTACATAATAATAAAATAAAATCAATATACATAAATGCACATGAGTCAAGTGTACAGTTTAAAATAAACACCATGCTCTCATCTGATTGCAATTAATTCAATGCATTTTGCCCATTTCGCCATATATTTTTCTGCCCTGTCATTAATGTTGAAATACATTTTGGTAGTTCAGTTTTCTACTTGCGTGGTTTTCACTGGCTTCAAACACTTTCTTTTCAATTTAATTAAAAAAATAAATAAATAAATGTTGTTTACAATTATAATTTGACTCTTCTGTATTTTTAAAATGAGTTTTTTATGTTTTGGAATGTTGTCATCAAGGCTGCATATTTGATCAAAAATACAGTAAAATCTCGATATATTATTATTACAATTGAAAATAACAGTTTTGATGCTTTATACTTTTGTGGAAATTTATAAAAACAATTTGTAGGATTCCATGATGAATAGAAAGTTCAAAAGAACAGCAATTATTTTAACAATATCAGTGTCAATCAGTTTAATGATTCAGTTTTTTGCTAAATAAAAGTATTAATTACCTTAAAAAGACTGTCCCAAAAACCTTTGAATGGTATTGAATTGAACATTTTTACTTTTAAAATATATTTCAAATGTATTTTTTTGTATGCATTCGTCACACACAAATACAGGTATTTTCTTCATCTAAGTTATCGTTACAAAGAAAAAGATTCAGTAATAGCTAGAAATTAAACGCATATACTATAATTATTCAGGACAGCAATACATTAAAAATTATATAAATTGTTACTAATTGGTTTATTTTCAACCCATTCTTATTGATGCCACCAAAACGCTCCAAAACCAATATTACTTTTTCAACTAAACCTCATCTATGCCTGCAAGCAAGGTGAATTTAATTGGCTGAATTGACAGCCAAATGTCACAGAAAACCAAATATTTGAGTTTGCAGGGCAGAAAAATGTAAGATATAGTGCTGACACAATAGGGTAAATGCCGTTTCCATCAACTGACTCTGTCTCAAAAACCCGAATGTTTGGTTCAAATCAGCAATCTATTCACAAGTTTTTAACTCCTGCGATTGTTTGTGTGGTGAAATTTTAGATTATGATTGCGTGACCTGTAAAGTACACACACAGCCTGCTGTGATTGGACAGATAGAGCACAAACAGACCTGCTAAGAGCAGTAACTGCACATAATTATACCTCCTGACAAAAGAGTTCAGAGTCTGCTTCCAAGAATGCAGGTTAGTGCAGCTGTGAAAACCCTCAACAGGCAGCTGCTTTCCCACATCTCATTTTCTGATTAAATGCCTCAGGCAACAATCAATAGACAAGCTAGTCCGTTATTGGCTTGATCAATAAATAATCTGCTTATCAATTCAAAACTTTACCTAATGTGTGTTTTAAATGTCTCATGTTGTATTAGGTGCATAAAACATTCCTAACATCGTGTCATGACTTGTTTAAGAGACAGCTACATCAGTTAACCTTAAATACAGGTCAATAAACAAAAGGTTTTCAGTCAGTTGAAGTTGGGCTGTATTCTTGGAAGGAAGCCACTAGTGCTATTTAGCTGATAACAGAAAGAGATTATTATCTACAATAATATGTGGCTCAAAGTAATGATGTACAGGGTTACTGGCGACACTAAGGTCATGAGGTTTCAGGGTATGTGTACTGATAAATTTATACCGTGAGCACTGTGTCGCAGACAGTGGATAAAAGCTTCGGCTAAATGTGTGAATGCATCGGGGCATGAGAAGTCTCTTTAAAGGGTAACTAAACCCCTGGTCAGAGTCTGACTCCACCTACTGGCAATATTTGAAAAAAGCTGAAAAAGTGGGCAGACCCCAGCGGAGATGGAGGGGATGAAATAGATGCTAAAACACGCTATCCCGATCGTTTTCAATACTCGCAATTCCAACTCCTGACTCGCTACAGTGGTTTTTGACGAAACAAGCTGGTTTTTATTCTGTGGTGAGCTGAAACCTGCGTACGTCACGAAGTGCGGAACATCCAATAGGAAAATGCAACTGCAGTAGCCACCGTTCAACCTGAAGAGGGCAGCACTAAGACGTTTTTACACCATATCTTGTAGAAATAAAACACTTTATACACAAATGTCAAAAAAGTTACTCGAATCATGACTGGTATTAATAAAGATCCATTCTTACAGATCATTAACTAAAAAAAAGTTGGTTTAGGGTTTAGTTACTCTTTAAACAAGAAGTAATTTTCTATTATAATATATTTTAAAATGGTATTCGTTCCTTTTGACGGTGAAGCAGATTTTTCAGCAGCTAGTCTTCAGTGTACCTTGATCCTTCAGAAATATTTCTAATATGATGATTTTTTTTTTTTGGCTTAGGAAATATGTTATAATTATCAATGTTGAAAACAGTTGTGGTGTTTAATATTTTTTTGTGGAAACCCTGACCCTTTTTGACAATTATTTGACCAAAATAACATTCATTTAAAATGCAAAAGATTTCTAACAAAATTATAAATGTCTTTACTGTTATTTTTGATCAGTTTAATAAATAAATTTAATATAATGAATCCTTGCAGAATAAAAGTAGTAATTAATTTAGAAGTTTTTGTTTAGTGTTTTGGTTGTGTGCATGAATCTCCTCTTTTTACAAGTGATATCACTTGTCATTCTGAATAATAAATGTGATAATACCGCAGTTATTTGAATATGTTTTTTTGGGGATTAACTGTAACCGAATACTTCACAATATTTGCCTGGCAGGAGAATGGCGTAGATGCTATCCACCCAGGCTATGGCTTCCTGTCAGAACGAGCAGATTTTGCCCAGGCTTGTATTGATGCTGGGGTACGTTTTATCGGCCCCACCCCAGAGGTGGTGCGAAAGATGGGGGACAAAGTCGAGGCTCGTACCATTGCCACCAGTGCAGGTAAAGCGTTTGTCATATACCCCTGCTCCCTCTCATCACGATGTATCATCAGTTGTGTTGTTGAACAGAGTGCAACAGTGCCCGTCCACTTTTTCAGTGCGTTGGTTTCTAAAGTATTTTCCCCTAGGGTTTTCCTAAAAGGTCTTTGTTAAAGAGCTTATAAGCCATGAACCAAACCAACCAGCTACGAGTTGAATCACAACATTACAAACTTTGATTGGAACCAAAAACTATTTGAAAATTGGACAAAAAGACAAAGGTAAAAACGGTGCAGTAAGCGTTTTTGGAAAAACACTGTGGAAAGTTAATCAAACCGAGTGTTTTTTTTTTTTTTTTTTTGGGTTGATTTCAAATATCAACAGTGCTCAACAATGATTCTCAGAAATCTCAGAATCCCATGAATCATTGCAAATGATGATCAAAATAAAAATGTAAATAGAAATATGAAACTATCAGTTTTGCAATAGTTACTGGTTTAAAATGTTAATGGCTTCTATAAAATTGTTCGGTAAATATGTTTACATCTTTACAGTACTTACAGTAATTTTTTTTTTTCTGTAAAAATGACTTTTTTTTACAGGGTAGATTTCAGTTACTTGGCCTGTGAGCTGTATGTTTTAACTCTATTTACAGCATTTTCAGTGAGAATGAGTAGCTACTAAAGTGCTCTTTTGGGGCGATTTGCTCATTTCAGTTCAGTTATTATAATCTCTGGTTAAAAAAAAAAAATTTTAAATCCAAAATCTTAAAATCTTAAATGACTAAACCTAAATTTGTCTACTGAACTAGTATTATATCAATATTTACATGGCATTGCTAAAATACATGGCTTTTTCTGGTCATCTTACAGGTGTGCCGGTGGTACCTGGAACAGATGGTCCCATCTCATCTTTGCAGGAAGCTCAAGAGTTTTCCAACAGCTACGGCTTCCCAATTATCTTCAAAGCTGCGTACGGGGGCGGAGGCCGTGGAATGCGGGTGGTCAAAGAGTATGAGGTATCGTGTCTGAGAGTAAAATTGTTTTATAGTGGATTGAACACGTTTAATCTTTGCCTCCGTTCCGTCAAAGAGCCAGTTGCAAGCTTTGACGCTGGAGTGCTTTTTTTTTAATTTTTTTTTTATAATTTTATTTGTAGCAGTTTTTTGTACAACACAAAACATATCCAAATCTCAAAAATGTTTACAGAAAGATTGTTATACATAAAATAAAACTAAACAAACAACACCCACCCGCCCCCACACCAGACAGAGAGAATAAAAAAAAATTACACTTTGAATCACTAAATCAAAATTGGAAAAAAAAAAAAAATCATCATAATAAAATAAAATATAAATTGACAATGGAAAGATGAAATAAGAAAAAAGTCATCCATATTACATACATGTCCAAAGATATTTCAATTCTTAGAAAGATACTTAAGGAAGGGGCCCCAGATTTTATCACATTTTTTAGAGGCATCAGCTTTAGAAAAACGAATCCTTTCGAGCTTAAGGGCAGCAACCATTTCAGCCAGCCATTTATGAAAGCTGGGTGGTACAATGGACTTCCAGTCCATCAAAATCACCCTTTTGGCCACCACCATACCAAACGTTAGAGACAGTTGTTGAGAATGTGTCAATGCTAATGTTGGGTCGGAACACCCAAACAAAGCCAACTCAAAATCTGGACTAATCTCTTCTCCAAAAACATTTGAGTACCACGAAAAAATATTATTCCAAAACTCAGAAATCTCAGGGCAAAACCAAAAAGTATGAGCATGCGTCCCATCAGAGCGCTATAGCATAACGGGGAAACTGAGGGGTACATTTTTTTAAGTTTAAATTTGGTATAGTGTAATCTATGCAACACTTTGAACTGAATAAGTTGTAGTCTTGCATTAATAGAACAATTATGGATTCGCTTTAGACCTTCTTCCCAAATCTCAACACTGGAGTGCTTTTAAATGAGCATCAAAGTGAGGCCCTTGTGTGCACTTTAGGTTTGTTTGCTGTTCAGTTAGTGGTGCGGTATGAATTGTTGTGATGGGTATTTGCACCGGGTGACCCTGTGTCTGTGTGTGTGACCAGGAACTAGAGGAGAACTATCAGCGAGCGTACTCTGAGGCCCTGACCGCCTTTGGCAATGGAGCTCTGTTTGTGGAGAAGTTCATTGAGAAACCCAGACACATCGAGGTGCAGATCCTTGGTAAGTGAGTTTGTTTATTACTTTGTTTGTGTAGGGATATAATATATGAATACTTGATTTGCAGTTGTTATCCAGAGACTATCCTTACACAAACATATATATATATATATATATATATATATATATATATATATATATATATATATATATATATATATATATATATATATATATATTATATACATATATATATATATATATTTTATATACATATATATATATATATATATATATATATATGTTATATATATATATATATATATATATATATATATATGTTATATATATATATATAACATTATATATATATATATATATATATATATAGACTGTTCATAATTGGTTGAACTATTTATTTATATATATAAACACATTCTGCCATTTACTCACTTTCATGCCATTTCAAACCTGTGTGACTGTCTACTGTAGAACACAAAAGGATAAATGTTGCTCTTTTCCACGCATTTAATGTAAAAAAGATACAATATGCAAGATTGTTTCGCCACAAGGGGTCGCTAACCTCTTACAATAATAGTCGTATATTAATGGCGTATATTCCGCATTAGGTGCACTGCACAAGGTATATTTGAATAAACTGTTTACCATTTATCAAATTGGTTATTAGACAAATCCACACCACCCATTTGAGCCGAATCGTAATTTCATTCAGATCGAGCTCAGTCGAATTGATTGAGGCTTTTCAGTCTGATTGAGCAATCAATCTGATTACAAACAGAGTATGAGGTTGCATGTAAATGAAGGTAGTGAGTTTACCGTCTCCGTCCGAACTTTTGTAAGGTGTGAAATGTCAAGATTTCCAGTGATATTATTTCAAAATATTATAATATTATGGCTCTTGAAGGCTTCAGTCCTCATTCATTGTAATTGCTTGCAAAAGAACATCCAGGACTCTTTAAAAAATCTCCTTTGTGTCCCAATGGACATGAGGTTGAGTAAATGATGACAGGGTTTTTACTTTAAATCTGTTCCCAGACATCGTCATTTGAAGAAGTGTTCAAAACCCCCAACAACAAATTGGATTTATTTAAATAGATTGTCTGGCATTTAATTAAACATATTTGGATTTGCATGTAGTGTTCTGTTCTCAACAGTGAACAGAATGGTGCAGTGCTCTGTCGCCTGCCAATTTGTATGGTGTCTATTGATCTGTTATATGATTGTGTGTTATATTTGGGAAAAATACTAGCAGATGAGTTTGTTTACACTGCCAGATGGTTTTAAGACTTCAGTGTAATAATGCTCAATGAGTTGATCGGTCCATTGTGCATAGGCGATAAATACGGCAATGTCATTCACCTGTACGAGAGGGACTGCTCCATCCAGAGGAGACACCAAAAGGTGGTGGAGATCGCTCCCGCCTCACAGCTGGACCAACACCTCAGAGACAGACTGACTGCTGACTCCGTAACCATCGCTCGACAGGTACAAGGCAACACATCTGACAGTTGCTGGTATTGGCTTTTTTCCAAACTATGTGCAAATGCAGACTTTGAAAGTAACAATGCATGTTACTTTTTTAAGTTCTGTTATTTAACCCAAAACACCCACTTAAAATCTAAATGCAGAATCTAACTTGCAGTCTTTTTGATAAAGATCCTTTAAATTTCGTCAATATTTTATCATGTTATTCAGTCATGTTATATACATTTTAGTCAATTTACTGTCTAATTTAGTTGAAAAGAGCTAAATTAATATTAAATGAACATTTATCGTATTATTTTATCTTAATACTATTAATATTATTGCTTAACCAAGTATTAATATTTCAATATGTAACAAATAACATGAATACTGTACTTGTGAACAACATAGTAATATTATGTTTGTTGTGTCTATATATATCTCATATATATATGATCTGCTCACAAAGTGCCTCAGTTTACGGGTGTTTCACTGTTCAGCTTCATCTTGCACGTGTCATCATTCAATTCTGTCAATTTGTTTTCAAACCTTTATGAATTTCTTTCTTCTGCTGAACACACAGGAAGATCTTTTGAAGAATACGAGTAACCAAACAGTTGATGGACCCCGTTGACTTCCATTGGGGTCCATCAACCGAGTGTTATTTTCTTAAAGTATGTTTTAGTTAAAACCGTTTGCTTGTCGTCATAATGTTTGTTTGTTTTCCAAAATGCCAGGCAGTGAGGATAAAGTATTTTCGAAAAGAAAAACCTAAATGTAGGTTGCAGTAGATGTGAATACAGTACACCGAATTAGAAGGCAGATGGTGCTGCTGCGCCATTGGATTGTGAAACATAATCAAACTCTTCCATTCATCCATTTCACTGCATAAACGTATGCCAAGACCAAAAAATGGTTTGTTATTTTTGCAGCAGACAAGCTGTTAGATCAGCACAATAGCATCTGCCTTAAAGTAACAAAGCTCCTAAAAATCTCTATAGCAATCCATTATTTTTATTGATAACTGGTTTCGACCGCTAACCTATTTGTGCTGTAACCTCTTAGTATTTTTCAGATGATATCCAGATGGGTTTTGGCATTGATATCTGTTCATTACAAAAGGTTTTTTTTCTTTCATATGTTCATCTGGCTGACTCATCTCTGTATGCCAGTCTGAGCAAGCATATGGTGTTCCTGCACTGCCATTTGGCAAAGTTTGAACCTCTCAATTGTGATTTTAATGTTTTATCAGGAGGATATACGAGAACAAGTGGTGCTTTTTTTTTTTTTTTTTTTTTTTTTGGCAGACATTTTTGCCACCTTCATCTCCCCTCTTGGTTACTGTTTGCTAACTCCGACAAGCTTTATATAATGTCTCAAAGACAATGTGATTTTTCACATAAACATATTTTTCAGGAATATATACTCATAAAGGGGTGTAAATAGATTGGATTTTAATCTTAAATAGGCTGGAATGAATAAGGTCTTTGCAAATCATTTGTATCTGCCATTTTTTTTTCTTTTACACGGTAATATGATTAAAAACAGAATTGAGGCAAATGCTTAAAGCATTTTGATTGCAAAGAAAAAGCTACTTTTGAAAGAGATTACAGCTGAAAACATTAGTGTTAAGTGCTCAGAACGGTTCTTCAAAAGACTCACCAGCACTGTGAACTCTGCTTTGACTTGAATCAATAAGTAAATGAATTACCGTTAACTTGGTATGGTTAATTTACTTCTGAGCAAATGTGGGTGTCATTATTGCTTATTACTTGCTCATTTGGAAGTAAAACTTGACATAAGGCAGCATGCACCTGTCAATATTTATTTTAGTTTTGGAAAAAAGGAAAAAAAACAACAACTTATCCTCTTCCATAATCCAGTAAAACATTTTCGTCAATTTCTAACATAATATTTATAATTAACACTTTTTTTTTAGATGTTTCTCTTTTATAAAACAAACTACTGACCTCCTTGCTATATACACAGTGTTTTGCGCCTAAATCACGCGTAAATGCAAGTTTGTCAGTCTGATTTTAGCGTGACATTCATACAAGTTGAAAACGCAAGTCAAACTGACAGTTAAGTCAAAATCAAAAGGGCGACTTCTTGACAGACGGCTTTTGCTACGTTTTTGATCAAATGTGAGTAAAGACATGCTGTATATGTCAGACTTGCGGTAAGTCATTTTGGATAATTGTATAAATGGAAACCCCCTGTTGTCTCCAGTGTGTTTACATTTGATGCTTTGAAGCGTTTGTGAGTGACAGTGGAGGGTTGTATTTAAAAAGAGAAAGTTATTGACCGATTATTGACTTGTTCCTGTGCTGATGAACCGACCTCATTCTAAACCAAGAACAAGAGTTTTTATAAGATTAATTCTTCTTGGACAAAGTGAAGATTGATTTGACTTCTCTTTTATTAAAGGTAGGGTAGGCCATTTTCAGAGAGGTTAGCAATAGCAAGCTAACTTTGAAAGCATAAGATCCTACCCTCCTTTCAGAGCGTCTCCAAAACTACACCTCTTCTAAAACATGAAAATACCTACACGGGCAGGTAGGACATCGTATTGCGTTCGAAAAAAAATGCAGTGTTTGAACAAACATTATATATATATATATGAAGAGTTCAGATGCAAAAGCCTCTAAGTGCCATTTGAAATTTTCTTCTAGAATGATCATTTTTATCAAGCTTGTATTTAAATTCAGTGATTTCACTTAAATGGCAATGATAATTACCTATTAATTGTTATTTAAGTGAAATTACTGAACTTAAATATACAAGTTTGATAAAAATCATCATTAAGGAAGAAAATTTCAAATGGCATTTAGAGGCTTTTGCATCTGAACTCTTCATATATAGACTCTGCTGGTCAGAATTGTTTGCCCTCTTGGTAAATATGATCAAAGATGGCTGTAAAAAATAAATGTGCATTGTTAATCCTTTTTATATTTTATTCATTTTTTTTTGCAAAAATCTAACCTTTCATTGAAGTAAAATAATTGAAAAAGGGGGGGGGGGGGGATCACATGGTGAAAAATGTTTTTCTCAAACACATTGGGAACAATTATTTGCCCCCTTTTATTAAATACTTTTTGCAACCTCCTTTTTCCAAGATAACAGCTCTGAGTCTTCTCCTAATTTCTTAGTTGGTAGCAGTTTTTGCTGTTTCTGTTGACTTGTGCGAGCGTGTGTAATCATGTCCACTCACAGATACACCACGTCCTATGTGCGCCATTCCTTCCTTAGCACAGTTTGTGTCAGTCTGATGAATCACAAACATGACATTTCTCGCATAGTATTAATAACGCTATTACTATTCATGAAAGTTCTTGCACATGGTGGATTTTTCCTCGCAATGTTCAAAGACGCTTACATTTCGCAAGCAATTTTAGATATAGAGTTCCTGAATAAACATGCATGATTACGTTCGGAGAGGCTGTAATCAGCTGCCACATTGAGGAGATTCATTCAGTGTGTTAAGTGTAGAGTTCCTTTTTACTTCCACTTCTGAATTCAGCAGACACGCGTTCAGATAAAATACAGCGCCGATCACCCGTCTTTCACCCCTTCTGGACTCTGCTGACAGTTGTTTAGCATTCTGCAGAATATGAATGCATTAGCATTTGATGTGCGTGTGTGCGCAAACGAGAGAGATGGAGTATTGTCTGTGTGAGCTTGAAGTGAGGAAACTTGGTGAATGAGGGGAGAGAGCTAAAATCTCTCCTCCATCTGTTCTATCATATGGACAAGGGAAATGGAGAAGATGGCCTGGATTTCAGATTTCTCAGAGCAAGCATTAAAACCTCATTTGAGCTTTTGACATGTTCCCTTAGACGCTTGAAGCTCCCCTCAATCTCATTTTCTATTGCTGAGTACAGCTTTTCTCTTAAGAGCAGCGGGATGTATCCCTCTGTTCTCTCACCGTTGGCTCCGTCTTTAATGTCAAAGAAAATTCTCCCTGGCTCTTTTAATTGTCTAATTCCGTTTTTGAAGCATGGCAGAAGTTTCACTCGACTGAAATGGCCTGTCACCATCATGTTTAATCGTTAGAAATGTATGTCACAGAAATGGAAATGTCATGTGTGATAATGTTTCCCCTTCTTCATGTTGGGGGCAAACATGACTTGAACTGACATTTAGCAGACGTTCTAGCACTAGCCATAAGAATATGAAATGGGTCATTCTTTGCGACGGGTGATTTTTCTCGTTTGAAAAGGTTTTAGTATAATTTTCAAGTTGTATTTAAAAGTGTTAATGTATTGGCACATTCCTTTAAGAAAGGTAACAGATTTGATAGTAACAGGGTTGACATTTTTGCAAGCTTATTATGCTCAAGGTCATGAAACTAAAAAGCATTTGAGAATTTAGTGCTGATGTTTACAAATATTGTAGTTGACCGAGTTAAGATCGTGACTTGTACTTCCAAAATGATTGAAACGTAAGATAAAAGTGAGTGGACTTTATTTAGTGCCATTTACTTTCTGAATGGACAATAATGCCATTGTGACAGGTTATATATTTATTTTAACATTTGTTTTTCTTTTTGGAATAGTTTGTTACTGCTAAAAGGGCAGAAATATCAGGCAACAGTTGATTTAATCAAAAGCTAACGCCACCGGCCTTTTCTCTAAACCACCGCGCCTTATTACCATATTATGGTAATGGGGTGATGCATAACTTATTATTATTAATAATAATACATGTCCAGCTAAAGTAATAAATAGAGATAGGGATGGGCAACGATTAATCGCGATTATTCGCATCCAAAATAAAAGTGTGTTTACATAATATATGTGTGTGTAGTGTGTATAATTAATTTGTATATATAAATACACACATATGCATGTATATATATTTAATAAAAATGTGTTATTAATATATCAAATATTTATATTTATATATAATATTAATTCTGAATAAATATATATAAAATATATACATGCACATTTCTTAAATATATACATGCATGTGTGGGTATTTATACAAATTAATTATACACACTACGCAAACATATATTA